GACTAGACATTTTTTTTGGCACCATGTGCTCTGTTTTCGCTAATAAGATTATGTAGTGAATGGTACATTGTTCAGAATGAGCTTGTATGTGCGTCTGGGGAGCTTGCAAAATTAATAAACCCTAGTGATCAAAGTCAGCATTAGCCAGCAAAGTCTGGTCAGCATGACTCTGGCAATGATCTCTAGTCAAGAGAGTGAGTGAGTGAATGAAGTGACGTGTGGCCAAGTATGGTGACCCATACTCAGAATTTGTGCTCTGCATTTAACCCATCCAAGTGCACGCACACACCACGTGAACACACACCCGGAGCAGTGGGCAGCCATATTGCTGCGGCACCCGGGCAGCAGTTGGGGGTTCGGTGCCTTGCTCAAGGGTTTCACCTTAGTTGTGGTATTGCGGGTTGAAGAGAGCACTGTCCATTCACTCCCCCCCACCTACAATTCCTGCTGGACCTGAGACTCTCTATCCATTAGTTCACGACTGCCCCCTGAGAGCTGCTGTTAACATGATGTTCAAAAGGGAGGGTTGAGTTGTCGCTCTCTTTTTCTCTCTGCTGGTGGTCAGTCCAGCTCATAGTCAGCCATAATGAGATCTTGCTCTGCTTCACATCTCCTTTGTCTGGCTAAATGAAAGTGACCTCTCATTTGACGTGTTGTAGCAAGCTAACACTTTCAAGATTTCTTTGTGGTTATAATACAGCAGTCTGTACAATGTCCTATCAAAGCCTGACAAAATTAGTCTCTTTGTGACTTTATATCTCCAATGTGACTTTATAATTGTGAGAAACAAAGCTGCAATTGTGAGATATAAAGTTGCAGGATATTAAGATGCTGTTACGAGGAAAAAAGTAGCATTTGCGCTTCATAGATGCAAAGTCACATTGTGAAATACAAGATCACAATTATGAGAAACAGTCGCATTTGTGAGTTATAAAGTCACACTGCAGATTATAAAGTCGCAGTTATGTGGGGAAAAAATTGAAGTTGCGATATAATATAGGGGCACATTGTGAGATATAAAGTCACAATTATGATAAACAAGGTCGTGTTGCAGGATATGCAGTTGTAATTATGAGGGAGAAAATGTGGTGTGTAGAGTAACATTGCAGGAAATGAAGTTGCAGGAAATGAAGGAAAATAATTGCAATTGTGGCATTGAGGCACAATTATGAGAAACAAAGTTGCATTTGTGATATATCGGGTAGTAATTACTTTTTATTTTGTATTTACTTGATAAATGAGTTATAGACAGAGCTAATTTTAGTGCATTCTGGGATAGGGTTCACTAATATGTAACTATATACTTTATACTATAACTATATACAATTTACCACATATTGTAGGAGACAGCATTTAGGAGATGCCTGCACCTTCACACACACCTATAATGCCTTAAAAGCTGCCTACGTAGGCAGCTCGTGCCAGTGGTTTGGGAGTAACATGTTGTTCAGTTGATCAGTTGAGTGGTTGGCTTTGCTTACAGTCTATTGATTTATGGCAGTCAGAGCTGAATTTGAGCACAAGTGAGTTTGAATTGTTGACGTTTAAATAGGAGACAGACAGATGGTTGTTGTTGTGTCCAAAGTACTTGCTGAAATCATAGTTCTTGGCTATGAAGGTACTTTAAAGTCTTGGAGGAAGTCAAATTATGGATAATATAACCAATGAAACATCTGGGCTTCCATGTGTTGTTTCATTCGTCAAATTTCAACAAATCCTCATCTGGTTCACAACACGCAAGAGATCTCTACAGTCCCTGGTGATGCTGTCTGAAATACTCGCAATAGATTAACTGCTTGTTTGAGTGCATACTAAATTCCAGATGCTGCCATGTGTACTAGCATTGTTTACTTTGAATTATATATGGCAATCTATTAATTCAAAGTAAGACCTAAGCATTTGCATGAGGCCAGTCTTATTTATAGTTCGATGCAAATAAACATGCCCTGTTTAATCAGGAAGAATATTTTTTCTGAAGAGCTGGTTGGAAAAAAGATACATTTTGGAAACTCGTAATGGGGAAATCAAAACTATTGCATAATTTATTAGGCTATATATTATACATTTGTAGATTTGCTTTAAAAGCTTATGACCTGCCTAGCATTAACTTTTATACTGTTTTTATTCAGTCTGTAAATTCATCACCTTTGAAGCACCCCTACTCCAATCATTCATAATTAGATGAAATATGTTTGGTATATTGAGTTTTTAAGATTTTTTCTTGAATATCCTGTCACTAGCTTTGCATTTTATAAATGTCTTTGACTTAGTTTTAAAGTCAAAGTAAATTGTGGTTTGCAAAATATGTTACTTAATGTGACATTCTGAGAGAATCAGGATATCCACTAATGAGAAAAAGCTTAGTGGGCGATTTTATTTTGTTTTATTTTGAACAATGAAAAGTGGACATTTTGTACCAGCATGGAGCTAAAAGCTAGTTTGTTAAAACAACGGCTAAACAGAATGCTAGTTTGCAAAAATAGCAGTTAAATAGAATGTTAACTTACTAAAACAATGGCTAAATATAATGCTAGTTTTTTAAAACAGCAGGTAAATAGAAAGCTAGGTTGCTAAAACAACAGCCAAATAGAATGCTGGCTTGCTAAAACAATACCTAATGAAATGCTAGTTTGCTAAAATAACAGCTACATAAAATGTTATTTTGCAAAAATAACAGCTAAATAGAATACTAGTTTGCTAAAACATGGTTAAATAGAATGCTAGTTTGCTAAAACAACAGCAAAATATAATGCTAGTTTGCTAAAGGGATAAATAAAGTGCTAATTTACTAAAACAATAGCTAAACAGAATGCTAGTTTGCTAAAACAACAGCGAAACAGAATGCTGGTTTGCTAAAACAACAGCGAAATAGAATGCTAGTTTGCTAAAGGAATAAATAAGGTGCTAATATACTAAAACAATAGCTAAACAGAATGCTAGTTTGCTAAAACAACAGCAAAATAGAATGCTAGTTTGCTAAAGGAATAAAGTGCTACTAAAACAATAGCTAAACAGAATGCTAGTTTGTTAAAACAATAGCGAAATAGAATGCTAGTTTGCTAAATGAATAAATAAAGTGCTAATATGCAAATGGTTTGCTAAAGGAATAAATAAAGTGTTAATGAACTAAAACAGCAGTTAAACAGAATGCTAGTTTGCTAAAATAACAGCTAAGTAGAATGTTAACATTCTAAAACAACAGCTAAATTGAATGCTAGTTTGCTAAAACAATGGCTAAACAGTCTGCACAAAATTATGTAAGAAAATTATTATATCTTAATGTAAAACTGAACTTTGGAATAGCATACACTGATGAATCTTTTACAACCCAGATAGCACACGTACGTCTGCAAGATGTCTGTTAAAGGTCTCTTGATCTGGAAAGCATCTGCTGTCTACAAACGTCTGACAGACGTCTCTCAGATGTCAGTTTTACATACATTCTAAATCATAAACATCTTAAAGACATCTAATAGATGTCTATTTGACATCTAAAAGGAAACGGCCATGGGACTACTATGAGCCGCCTGGAAAAGCATTTCCCGACGGCTTTTTGGGACTAATAACTGGGTTGTATTCTTTTTTGTTTGGGTATCTTGGGTCACCCGATACAACCTATCTTTTATAAGGGAAAAATAGGGATACGAGAGAGGTTGGTCAGGCTGGAGAAGCTGCCCGTCGATGGTGCGGACGCGGTCATACGCATTTCTCAGCGTCTCATCACGAGACTGCTCCAGAGGAAAGTCATCCAGCTCGGGGGAAATAGGCTCCGCCCTCGCTCTCGTTTCCTCTGAGACAGCCTGTGGCGGTCCCGAAACAGCATCTCCCGCCTGAGCCACCGCTTCCCCGTTTCCCCGCCCCATTTCCCAAGAGGCATCCGCACACAAAACCCCCAATAATTGTGTAAAAGCTGGCCAATCTGTTGTAGCAAAGTTTTCAGTTCGGGAAGAAGGACGAGGAAGTCAGGGGTGGCGAGTAGACCTTTTATTGGTCGTCACAAACAACATATAACAACGTGAACGCTTCTTGGGTTTCGCAGTCAGGTGTTGCACACTCTGCTGTCTCTCTCCCCCTCTCCCAGGTCGGCGGCCGCTTATCTCTCGCCGCCCTGCCAATCACTGGAATTGCAAACAGGTGTTAATCATTATTCACTTGACCTCCTTATCACCGCTCGTCTCCAAACTCGTTCTCCCGCTGCAGCCTTTCGCCTTCCCCCGCCCCCCTCGCCACAATGTCATATGCAGGTATAAATTTATATGTCTTGCAGATATAAATGCAGATGTCAAATAGACGTCTCCGAGATGTACGTGTGCTATCAGGGAATAAGACTAGAAACCTACATTATTCATGAAAAGTTTCATTCATGTTGAGTTTGAAAATGAGACTTTAAAAACATTGTGCTGTCGCTGCTTTTGAATGTAAATGCCTCACGAGAAACGCATCCAATCGTGGTCACGTGATCCCAAAACCAGCCTAATTTCTGAAAATATGTAAATGCAGAGCATCAATTTTGTAATTGTGCAATTACACATTCGGAGCATATCGCAGCTAATCAGCCTGTCCTCAGATGAGTCTGCTCTTCACCTCTGCTCCGCTCCCCCTCTCTTTCAATCGCTGGCCCGTTTCGCCCGACAAGGCTCATGCATTGTTTGTCTGGGATCACCCTAGTAAGCAGGGTTATGAGCAAATCTGCCTCATGTTATGCAACAAGCTCAAATCGCAGGTCTGGGAAGAGGGGAGCAAAAGCTTTAAGCTCTAAGCCACCATGGGACAACAAGCTTTATAGCGGCGGATGGGAAGGAGACTTTGCTAGACAAAAACGCTCATTTATTCTATCAAAACTGACCCGGTTGTTCTCAAAATAGCAGTGAAAACATTTTCCGTTTTGCCTAATACTCCTCCAAACAATGAGCTTAGAAATGAGGACACAAGCAGATCTGTGTTATTACAAGATTTTCGATACGATCAATTAGACTGATCTTTTACCTCTTGTTTTTCAGATTTGGATATGCACCTGTGTCCATTTATTGCTGTACATGACAGTTGCTGCCTATTCCAGTGAAATAGGAAATCCCATTACAGATGACATCAAGAAAATTTCTTTGTTGGTAAGAGCTCGGACATTCTTATCTCTCCAGTGCCGCTTTTTTCCCAGCGCATTTTGTGAAAGACAACAGCGAAGGCTGAATTACCGATGCTCTGGGGGGAAAGAGCTGAAATTTATTTCATGTGTGTTGGAATGAAAGCCCCAGACATGTGGTTCAAAGTATGATAATAGAGTCATATACATAAAACAAATGCTTCGCTGCAGACAGTCTTTTTAGGATCATCAGAAATCATCAGCCTGAAAGGATTATTGAGTTTATCGCTTTGTTGGAACATGTGAGTTGTGTAATGGCATTTGCTTTTCTTTAGCAAAATATTTACGAAGTATAATGCCAAATCACCGTGTGTGCCATATGCTGAAAGGTTAATAACCAGTCATTAAAATCTTTTGAAGTACATATGTTTGCGGCTTCCATAGCTATACCTTAGCCAAGGTTCTAAAGCAAATTAGAGTAATTCCATGTTTACATTGTGGTTACATACTGGTAAAGTTTAATTTTTGAATCTTTATCGATGATGAAATGACCATGTGCATTGTAGTTTTTGGCACTTAGAACCGGCTTTTCTTCTCTCCTATTAGAAACAGAATATTCCAAAAGACTACAAGATTACATTACGTTATATACCTAAAGAAGTGGTGAGTTGTTATTATTCAGTTTCATTGAATCGTTCACGGTAATAAAAACAAACATGGTGATAATCTAGTAATGTCTTTTTTGTTTTTCTTCAAGAGTGGTATGTGCTGGGTGAAGCTAAATGTATTTCACTTGGAGGTGAGCTTAAAAGGCCTGGCGCAGAAGTTTGGGAACATATCCTCCAATAAAGATAATATAGGCACTTTTGTTCAAATACTGCAAGAGATGCGGTATCACATTGGACATGGCTTGGTAAGTTACCTCAACCAAGTAATTACAATAACAAGCGTGTTTCATGCAGAAATCTTGACATATCTAGTATGTTTTGTTTTGTTTTGAGTTACAAGTTTGTCTTGTCAGCTATAAAAATCAATTCTATAAATAACACAGTAATTGAGGAACTTTTGTAAAAACGATTTGGAAAAAAATAGTACAAAAGGTCTTAATTAGGTCTTAATTTCATTATCAAAAATCGTTTAAACGGACTTCAATAAAAAAAACATTTATTTATTTATTTATGGTGTGTTTTGTTCATTTCTTTTTCAATAAAATGTTTTTAAAAATTCTATAAAATTAATATTCATTATTAAAATGTATATATTTATCTTTTATTTTTATTTACATTTTTATTTTTATTTGAAACTATTTTTTAAAACAGTTTATTTTTCTTATTTTTAAGTAAAAATTGCAGCCAATGGGCAAGGTTTGTAAAACCACTTGGAAAAAGAATTCATTCATTTGTAAAGCAGTGCAAAACCTGGTATGTTTTATTAAGGTTTTATGATTTTTTTTTTTCAAGAATAGTTTAAATATATATATTTATTATTACAATTTATTTTTGTATAATTTATTTTTCTATTTATTCAAATTTCTATTTAAACTATTCATTTTTATTATAAGTAAATCATCACAACAAATGATCCACTTGTACATGGAAACCATTTTTTCTGATTCTTCAGGAGGATTCAATGCTTGAATTCGATTGTCACTACGTAAATGAGATGTGGCTTACGGCAAAGTATTTTGAATTTGTGGAGGACTTTTTCTACACTGCCAATTCGTCAAGAGATGCCGAGGATTGCGAGCCCCCGCCGTGTCCCACATCTACAAAAACAACAGTAACGACAACTACGACAGCGTCGACAACGTCAGCGCAACATAGTACAAATGGTGAGGCGCATGTCATAACCAGTCTTAAAGGCCTTGCGAAGGCATGGTCTACACATTGTGGAGTGTTGTCTGTGTCCTTTTTAATGAAGAAACCACAGAATGTCGTTTGTGGAAGGCCGCCCATTTGCAACTGAGGTTTTAGATGTTAACACCCGCTTTTAAATCATATCTCTTGTGGCAGCTTTGGTTGCAATTTTGCACATGTTGTGTGTGTGTGTGTGGGTGAATGAGTGTGTGTGTTCCACGCCTTTTCAAACGAAGCCGCTGGACAAAACAAGAGAGGCAACATGTTTTTGTCAGCGCTATTATGACAGAGTCTCAGCTGAGTTTCAAAACCAAGAGATGCTCCCTAGTGAACGGCATGAAAGGGAGAGCAGATTCGAAGTCCAATTGTCACCATGTTGATTACAGAGCAATCTTCAGATCTTCCCAAGCGCAAGCTCTTTCTTTCTAAAAGCGGACAGATCAGATCTTTCATGGGGCGGAGAGAAAAGGAGATTGTGTCCGACTTTTTAAGCGTCTAACAATGAACGGTTTCTATCTGAGACATTTAATGCTTCTCTGTTTCTGGCTTTCTCTAGAGAAACGTAACGGTTTGCCTGATGACCCCGAAAAAGGTGAGTTATCACATAAATGTCTTCAGTCATCACTGCTCTATGCATCCAAGAAATAGCTGGTCCAAAAATCATTTACCTGCCCTCATGTTGTTCCAAACCTTCATGACTTTATCTCTTCACTGGAACTCAAGAAGAGATACTGCTGTTTTTCTTACGATGAAAATGAATAAGGAATAAGGCCGTCAAGCTCCAAAAATCAAAGAGATTTGTGTTGTATTAACAGAAAATATCCGCTGAAAGTAACGACATTTCATGCCAGGCTGGCAGACAAGTATTGGGCCACTTTGTTCTTTTTTGTCGTTTTTGAGGCTTGACAGCCTCAGACGCCATTCACTTTCATTGTAAGGGAAAATCCTTGTGAACCTTTTCAGAATTCCTCATTTTATGCTCCATAGAGGAATTGAGGAACAACATCAAGTAAATGATGACAGATTTTATTGTTTTATTTTATTTTCCTTTACATTTTCTTCATTTTCTTCATCTAGCTAGTCAAAGAAACAAGAAATGTCATGAGGTTGAATAAATGTTGACAGAAATTTATTGAGTTTAGTTTATAATTTTATTTAATTTGATTTTGTAACATTTATTTGAAGATCCAGCTAGCCAAACACTATCCATAGAGGAAACAATAAATGACTTGAGGGCAAATAAATGTTAACTGAAGTTTTATTTAATTTTATTTTATTTTGGATAATTTATTCCATTACCAATTATTTGAGGAACACTGTCCAACAACATTTTTTTTTTTTTTTTTCGTTTTATTGTAGTTTATATATTATTTTGGGTGATCTATTTCTTCAACATTTATTTCAAGAGAGTTATCCAGTTATGCAGGTCAGATTTTTGATTTAGTTCAACTGATGTACTCTGATATATCTGTAAGGCTGAAAGTTTATCTTGCTGTCTGTCCCAGTTCAACAAGAGCACCTTTGCAAACTGATAAAACCAGTCTCATTTTTCTGTAGGGGCATTCCTTCCGAAAGTTGTGCAGAGCAGTCTTATGTCGCTGCTCGCCATCCCGTTCATCGCAGTGGTGGTGTTTCTGTTGGTCTGGAAGGTACGTGTGGTGGTGTGCTCTGCTGAGCCTTCAGCATCACAGCCTTTTCGATTTCAATCCTGATTGGTATTTTTCTTTTTCCTTTTGTAATGCAGATGAAATCTAGAAGAAATGCCCCACAAACTGAACGGAGTCCAGAAGAAGGTCCCGCCCTTTTCTCAGGAGAGGAAGCCAATATACCCCCATTAGATGTGGAGATATCTGAAAAGTAAATATATTCAAGTCTGCATAGTGTGCTGTACTTTCCATTGAGTCCTAAAATATTTAAAAACTTCAAAAAATGAAATGCATATTAAAGGGATAGTTCACCCAAAAATGAAAGTTCTGTCATTAATTACTCACCCTCATGTCGTTCCAAACCCGTAAGACCTCCGTTCATCTTCGGAACACAAATTAAGATATTTTTAATGAATTCTGGGAGCTCTCTGACCCTCCCATAGACAGCAATGTAATTACCACGATCAACGCACAGAAACGTAGCAAGGAGATCGGTAAAATAATCCATTTTTGAACCGTAATTTTACGAAGCTACGAGATTACTTTTGTATGCAAAGAAAACAAAAATAACGACTTTATTCAACAATTCGTCTCCTCCACGTCATCCTAGTGCCATTTTGGAGAGTATCCACTGAACGTAAGCAACGTATACTGTTCTGTGTCAGCTGCGCCAGTCGGAATCATTTTCTATGTTGTTTACACTTTGATTTGAATGAAAACAACGTATCTGTGTGGCGCAGCTGACACAGAACAGTATACGTTGTTGACGTCCAGCAGATATTCTCCAATCAACGCACAGAAACGTAGCAAGGAGATCGGTAAAATAATCCATTTTTGAACCGTAATTTTACGAAGCTACGAGATTACTTTTGTATGCAAAGAAAACAAAAATAACGACTTTATTCAACAATTCGTCTCCTCCACGTCATCCTAGTGCCATTTTGGAGAGTATCCACTGAACGTAAGCAACGTATACTGTTCTACCCCTGATGTCACATCTCTGGACCTTGATCGTGGTAATTACATTGCTGTCTATGGGAGGGTCAGAGAGCCCTCAGAATTCATCAAAAATATCTTAATTTGTGTTCCGAAGATGAACGAAGGTCTTACGGGTTTGGAACAATATGGGGTGAGTAATCAATGACAGAATTTTCATTTTTGTGTGAACTATCCCTTTAAATAAATCATATTTAACATTTATGTTTTATGATTTGAAACCTAACAAATTTAAATTTGTGAAATGTTTTGCATTTCTATTTTTTTATGATTTGAAACCTAACAAATTAAAATTTGTGAAATGTTTTGCATTTCTATTTTTTTATTTTTTGACCAAATATCATAAAAAAAAATGTGTACGTTTTTAAGTGTTGCTTAGGTATCCAAATATTATTGGGGTCTATTTTTGTCCTACCTATTGAGCTGTTTCATCACACCAGTTAACGCCAACTTCCTGTTTTCCTTTTCCAGAAACAGATTAAATATTATCATGGCAGTGTAAATCCAGCCCCAGCTTAACCAACGCAGGTAAATAATGTTCTTATTCTAAATGAAGTACCAACTTAACCTACTTTACAGCATATCATTTCACAGAGGCCGCAGCCATTAATTTTGTTTCTCATTAACAACATTTCAGTCACTCCTTCAGACGGCACAACGGACAGGAACAAACAAGCACCACCTCCGAAAGATTCTCTTACCGAACTTCTAGTTGTGAAGGAAGGAATCATACTGGCCTGAGACGCAACGAACTGCTCTTTGAGAACTGATGCCCTCTCTTATCAACCACTGCTGAGCCCTTCGGGGTAGATACAGTTGCTCCTTCTGAGAACTTCTGAGAGTCGCTCTTCATGCTCTTTAAAGCTTCCTTCTCCTCTTGGAGACCGCAAGGAGACTGTGCAGGAGGAATTCGATGAAAAACAGAACGAAAGCAACACGGCATTGGATTCAGCTGGAGGCGTCAAATCGCCAAGCGCATTTTTTGGAGAGCAGGAGCCGCAGTTCAGAAGGAGGGCAGCCATATTGTTGCTTGAGAGCAGATGGCTATCTAAAAGGAGTTAAAGCAGAATTGACTACCTCCAGCGGCACTGGTCCATCTCCTTCTTTCTTTCTTCATCCTTGTTCTCTCTCTTTCTTTTGGTCTGGGTGTCCAGATGGACGCCTTTTCAGTTTTTTGAGTGCTTGAATCAGTAAAGTCGTTCTCAGATTGTATCATCTGATTTGTGAATTGTTTTTATTGTCACTATAGACTGGTGGTGTGGACTTAATTTATTTATTGTCTGAATATGACATGACACCTGCATGGCATCAAATATCGATCGAGACGACGAATACCCAATCGTCTCAACCTTAAAACATATCCAACAATCCTTAATCGCTTGTGTATTTCGACAATAAACCCTACGTTCATGCTAGCCGCAACCTTCTAAGTACCATTATAGCTCCTCACAGATGCCATTAAGCGTTTTTAAAGCTATATATCAGTACACCCGTGGTTTATGCAGTTAGTTTTACATTGTGGCTTTTTATGAAGTCTGCTTCAGTGTTTTTGAAGTCATTTAGTATGAGGAAATTTCTGGTGGCTGCTAATTTTATAGACGACTCAGCTTTTGTCAACGGTCATGTAGAACGGGCTTGTAGAAAAAAAATCTGCCATACTAGAGTGAAATGCATCAGTCAGACTTTAAATATGGGTCAAAACTAAATCAATTAGTATTACGTCAAACAAAACGGTACACCTCACACCACAAAAAGCGACTTTTTCGAATACAGGACGCCATCGGAAGATCTCGCTAGCAGTAATAGAAAACCTACATATATGCTTTTACTCGTAATTTTGTGCCTTTTCACAGCATGGCTCTCCCTGTAAAGATTATTTTTGGATAACCAGCCATATATTTATTACGGAGAAAAAAAATAATATAATAATGATATTGCACTAGTTATATTCAAGAAAATTCCTCTAGGACATTTCAGATGACTTTCCAAGAAAAGCATAACACGATCCGGTTCCGGCTTCAGTCTCCTGCTGAGTATGAATCAATTTATGCATGTTCACATCTGACGTCTTACATGGCTTGCGCTTAATCTGTACATACTGATTTATGATAGCTATGACTCATATAGACAAGTGCTAATGATTTCGAGACGAAATTCAGAGGAGATCAGATTTGATTTGTACCCTGCTTTCTCCAACTGGTTGTAATGATCTATATCCTGTGTTGTGGGGAATAACCTGTTGTCTGCCCAGTCTTTGTTTTCTTAGTTAGAGCACAACAGTTTTTTTCTTTTTTTTTAAGATACAGTATGTAATGTGAAGTTGACGTTTGGTGAGTAATATCTTGTCCTGGTTAAGGTGGTTGTTTACAAAAGCTTGTATTAACATTGGCAGCAATGGAAAGGTCTCATTGTAGTGTTTTCATGCAGTTAATCCAAGTCATTTTGAAGCTCTCGATGGGGCATGTCAGTGTAAGTATTTGCTTTTTCCATCAGAGTAAACCCCTTCAGACCATCTCAGTGTAGTTCGGGACAGTGCTGGTAATGTTACAGCATGAGGTCACAGATTGTAAACATGCAAAATTCATTTTTACACTCAATTCGGGAACCTCATTGAACCGGAGAAGTTCTCAGTCTGTCTAGAGGGTGATGAAGCTGCCTTTGGCGTCTTTGTTTGTGCCCTGATAAGGTTCCATGTGAGTCAATAAATAATTGCGACAGATAAGCTTCACCATAGAAATCTTCAAAAGTGGGAACATTCCTACATGTTGTAGGAGTTTTGTGTGTAAAAACTATGAAAACAGGAGTTAAGACCCCTCAAAACACAAAACACAGACCACATGAGCCGGCCAGTGAAATTCCCACCACTGCCCTGAAACTACTGGGAATGTTGGCGAAGTGTCAGAAGGCACTGTTGCTCCGTTTTGTGATGCTGAGATGAGGAGATGAGGAGGAGTCCCTGAGAGAGGGACGTACAAGGGAACCGTACCAGGATTTTTCAGATTTGGCACGTCCCAACTGCCGCAGTTGGAGCCAGCATCATATTTGGCGCGATTGCCGTGTTCACATATGCCCAAACGAACCGAGCTAAGGGGGGAAACGCGCCAGGTTCCGAAACAACGAGCCAGGTGTGAAAGCACCCTAAGACTGCAGAACACAGCTAGTCAGGAAGCCAGTCAGGGTGCCAAAAGTAAACAAGGAATTGTGGCCCAGTCATTGTCTGGGTGACAGTCTACTGTATTCTGTATTTTATATGAATATATGCAAATATATGTATGAAATGTGAATAAAGTACATTTATCCACCATTGCTGAGGCTTGGGTGGGTTTTACTTCTCATTACGACTAATAAAACCATGATAATTACAGTTGAGCAGTCTGGGTTTGATTTGACTTTTTACTATTTTTTTCTTTCAACTTCCTTTTAAAATGTACTGATGCATTTAAAAGGACAGTTTACTCATGTACTCACCCTCATCCAAACCCAAATGACTTTTTTGCCGAAGGAAGTATTGACTAAACGCCTTTGACATCCATTATAGTTTATGAGAGAAGTATTTTTTTCAGTGAATCGGTTAATCCTGAACGATTCATTCTGAAGGAGTCGAGTTCAGCTCAATCAATCAGTGATCCATTTGCAAAGTTTTATGCGACTGAGTGAATAAAGACTAATCATTTCTCACATAAAAACTATTGTATGACTTCAAAAGACTGAAGGTACTTGTCATGAGTTGCTGCTGTGAAGAACAGGAGCAGGATAAGGAAACCACATTTATTCTTAACAGAAATTCCTAGAATTGGGAAAACACAATCACTATAACATTGACGACACCGAACACTAGACACAGGAAACTCTGGGCTTAAGTAACAAGGAACTAATGAGGATAATTAAGGGAACACAGGTAAATGGAATGACAATCTAACATGAGGGAAAACTAGGTCACAGAGCACATGGGGAAGGAAAACACAACAAAAGAGCACATGGGGAGAAAAACACACACACAGAACATCCAGGGGCGTGACAATTTGCCCCCCTCCCGGAAGGCGCGTCCTCGCACCACATACAATCAACAAAAGGGGGTGGGAGTGTGGGCGTCCTGGAGGCCTCTCAGGGCAGGCTAGTACGGGAGGCCTCCACGGATCGGGCAGTTCAGGGGGCCATGGCGGAGCAGGCAGTTCAGGGGGCCATGCCGGAGCAGGCAGTTCAGGGGGCCATGGCGGAGCAGGCAGTTCAGGGGGCCATGGCGGAACAGGTAGTCCAGGGTGCCATGGCGGATCAGGCAGTTCGGTTTCCGTGGCCTCGGCACTTGCCTCGACCACTCTGGTGGAGTATACGGAGACCCCAAAATTTTCTTGGGGACAGAAGCCCTCTCTGGGCCGGACTCGGGAACAGGAGCCCTCACTGGGCTGCACTCGGGGACAGGTGCCCTCACTGGGCCGGACTCAGGAACAGAGGCCCTTTCTGGGCTATACTCGGGATCTGAGGCCCTCTCTGGGCTTGACGTGGGAACAGGAGCCCTCTCTGGGCTATACTCGGGATCTGAGGCCCTTCCGGAGCCAGAAGTGGGAACAACAGCCCTCTCTGGGCTGGACGTGTGGACAGAAACACTCTCTGGGCTTGACGTGGGCTCCTTGTTGAGCTCTGCGACGTGAGTGGACTTCCTGTTGAGCTCTGTGACGTGAGTGGGCTCCCTGTTGAGCTCTGGAGAGCATTCTGGACCGGACTCTGGAGAGCATTCGGCCTCCTGATTCTGGTCTGGGGCTAGAGCCATCTCACGAATCGGGTCAGGGGCTAGAGCCATCTCTCGACTCTGGTCAGAGGCTAGAGCCCACAGTCTCTTCCTTCTCATTCTCCTCTTTTGGGCTGAGGATAAGGAGATTGGAGCTGGCATCACAGGGCTTGACAGTGGAGCGGCCGGCGGGCTTGAGAGTGAAGTGGCCGGTGAGCTTGAGAGTGGAGCGGCCGGCGGGCATGAGAGTGGAACGACCGGCAGGCGTGAGAGTGGAGAGTGGAACTCGCTGTTTCTGGGCTGAGGACTGGAGAGGAACTTGGGAGAACTCGGGGAAGCTCAGATGGAATAGAGGGAGCGGGCTCATTGGAACGGTATGTGGAGGGTGCCGGCGGATGGTGAATAGAATAGAAATAATAACAATGAGTTTGCAAGGACATGAGGGTGAGGAAATGATAAGAGAATGTTCATTTTTTTTAGCGAATTTTTCCTTTAAGAGTGTGTGAAGTTGTTTGTGGTTATTTGATGGTGTTCAAAAGGCTTTTCTTTCCATTTGCTAGGAAATAACACGCCACAATCACATGTACTGAGTAGGCTGGTTAGGGTTCAAATTTCATTTAAATGATACCATTCTCTTTCCTGTTAAATGAAACAATACATTTGGAATGTAATTATTGTGAGACTTTTTCATGAGGGTGAGGAAATGATAAGAGAATGTTCATTTTTTTTAGCGAATTTTTCCTTTAAGAGTGTGTGAAGTTGTTTGTGGTTATTTGATGGTGTTCAAAAGGCTTTTCTTTCCATTTGCTAGGAAATAACACGCCACAATCACATGTACTGGGTAGGCTGGTTAGGGTTCAAATTTCATTTAAATGATACCATTCTCTTTCCTGTTAAATGAAACAATAAATTTGGAATGTAATTATTGTGAGACTTTTTACAAAAGCTATTCCAAGGAATATCCATAATGTAAACATTTTAACAGAGCATTTATTACTTCAGTATTGTCTAGGACCCCA